CTTTTACAATTTCTGAATTTAGAAATTTATTTATATTTATCTGACATTTATTCAATAATTAATGTAATTTCCCCCCCCCCCTCACTTTTATATCTTCTGTGGAAAATAAATGTATATCTTAAATTAGATATAGCAAGAAATGATCAATTAAAATTATATTACCTATAAAAAACAATGAAAATATTTTCATTTAAAATGATATAATTTTTAGTGAACAAAAATTTTTTTTTCTAACAAATTTCTTTTTTGGAATGTAAATAAAATGTTAAAAATCCTAACAAAAAGTGGAAAAAAAAGTATATATATATATAATAATAAGAGAATGTTATTTGAATTCCGAACACGTTCTTGTACCCCTTATATATAGCATAACTTTGTCACATTGAAAATTGTACTCAAATATTTATGCTTGAATTTATTGAATTGTGCACTTTTATAAAACTTAAAAATACCGACGTTCATATTCACAATAATTAAATAACTTTTCAAATGATTAATTTCATTAAGAGATTAAACGAATAATCGAAATTCTATATTTTCTCGTAATAGAAATTTAAATGGACCTTTGTTCTCAATTTTAATAGAGGAACGAGATATTCTTGATATGAAAATTCTATAATATGCTCCCTATACTCGTTTTTTACAACGTCATAATTGACAGATCTCATATATTGTGTATATTATTATTTCATTCAATACCATTTTACTATTTTTTTTTTTTTTTATTCTATAAAAAAATGTACTGCACATTTTTTGCAAAAAAAGTCTGAATGGAGAGAGCAAAAAAAAAAAGATTCTATAGTTATTAAAATTCCACAGAAAATCACACCTTAAAAAATTCCCTGGATTTTCGCCAAACCGAATCAGAAATTCTTACTGTACGCGAAATTTTTCTATCGCGTGAAAATTTTTTAGAAACCATTAAAAAAATATTTGCAATATTGGAGAAAAATTTTGATATTAATGAAAAATTAAATTATAAAATTTTTAGGTAGTATTTTAGTTTAATTTAATTATTTCTATTATTGGTCTGTTGTTTCCTGTTTTGTCATATTATGAATAGGCAAAAAACATTATTGTTGTTTTTTTTAAAAATAAAAATTGTTAATTATTTCATTTGCAGATGTTTTTTTTATTGTAAAAATTGCTAATTATTTATTTTTTGCAGATGTTTTTTTTTTGTAAAAATTGGCAATTATTTAATTAGGTTACAATTATCAATATAAATGGAGTTTAATTAAATTAAAAATATTACTTCATCTCGTCTGCATTTTTTTCTATATATATATATATTCATAAATTTTAAAATACCTTTTATAATTTTTGCATTATAGATATTTATATTACCATGCACATTTTATATATGTTACATATTTAAATTGTCTAGATATCATATTTTTTCCGTTACAATAAAAGTGGCTTTTAAAAATGAATTTTTTTTTTTTAATTTTTTAAAAAGATATTTTTATTACAATTGATATTTCACCTGCAGTTTTATAAAATTAACGGTGATTATAATTATTCGGTTTTAATTTTTTTAATTGTTGAAATATTTATTTTATTTTGAAAATAAATTTTCCAAGGATTATGAAATAATTTTTTATATATTTTCTGTATATAAATAAATCATTAATTTATTTTACTGCCCTTGTGGGCAAAGAACAAATAGATTTTATTTCGCTCTTGGAACGTGTATATAGTTGTCCTTTTTCTTTATAAGTACTTGAGAAATAGTATTATTATTATTATTATTATTATTATTATTAAAACCAAGAGGGAAAAGAGGATAATATAATGTTATTTTCATTTTATTAGAAATTATATGTTCAGACATAAATCAAATATTCAGGGAAAATCTTTAACGCAGTCTCAATGTATATTTCATTTTCTGTTCTTCAACATTTTCATCATTTGCAGAAAAGGAGTTTGCTCCTCAAGGGGAAATAAATCTTATTGTATAGATGTCTCTCTGTGATTTCTTGGTTATAGTGGAATATATATACAGAGAGAGAGAGAGAGAGAGAGAGAGAGAGAGAGAGAGAATTTCTGGTGGTGCACGATCTTGCTCGATTAATTCCTGAGGGTTCACTAGTAATTTGCAAGCTTTATGAAGCGAGATTCTGTGCGAAATTTCAGACACATTAGCATGAATTTTCCCCTGGTCTCACATTGCCAACTGGCGCGAATGTCAGGAAAGGGCCAATGGTTTAACATGATGTCGTACTCGTTTCAGTACAAGAATACTGAATAGAGAATAGAGAGGTCGTCGCATGTCTGGATCCTCGTCCTTCCATATCCTTACAAGAGGGTTAACGTCCCGTGGCTCATGTCACGTGTTCTTCGTGAACGATAAGAGCCGTTAATGTCGCGGTTGCTGCGTTTCTGCACGCGGGGACTCTAATTGTCATCCGGAGCGTCCGTCGAGCGAAACAAACGACCCTAATGCCATTGGGAGTTACCGAACGGACTCTTCTTCTTCTTCTTTTTCTTCTTCTTTTTTTCATAATAATAGGAAATTTTCCATTCCATATATATATAAAAGGGGATATACATCTCTCTCTCTCGACCATATAACGCAAATAGAAACTTTTCAACGACATCTCTCTGCATAATGCATATCCGACCTTCCTGATCCTTCATTAGTCTTTTATCTACTCATCCGGAAACCACTAAAGATTGTCGATATAAAATATTCAAATAAAAATTTTCATATAATTCGAAAATGAAAATTTATACGATTTTTAAAAATGATTTATTAAATAAATAAGGTTAATTAAATGAAACGCAATACAAAAAAAGAAAAAGAAAATTATGACAAACAATAGATTCACCGTATACAATTTCCTGGAAAACATCTTGCCCCTGAGTAAACATTCATAAAGTTCATAAATGCGTTTATATTAGTTTTTTGCATTAACACACAGGACTCGCGCATGGTATTTCACATATATATATATATGTAAAATATTCTTTTCAAAGAAAAATATAATCTACGTGTGCTTTTTTGCTTATTAAAAAGAAAGTAATTTTTCCCTCGCTCATATATGTTTAGTCAAGCGCACCTATATATATATATGTGAAATATAAAAAATTAATTCCTGTAGAAAATTTAAAATTTTAATACACTCTTGTCTCTTTAATGTGATTGTATACATTAAAAATGTCACTATTGTGAAAAAATTTATTTAAAAAAAAAAAACCCCCCTTCAACAATTACAGATTTTATAATCTAAATATTCTTAATTTTATAAATGATTTTATATAAAAATTTTTTAAATTAATAATTGATCATTTCCGATATAACAATTAAACAATTCTATTTTAATTGTATTTAATATTGAATATTATTTTTTTTGGAGAGAAGGTTATTAAAAACCCCAGTAGTGTGTTCATTAATGTTTCAATATTCAATAAGAATTTAATACGTACGTTTCAATTAAAAATGACATATGGTATTTTACAATTTTTAAATAATTGAGTTAATAAATTTTGACGTTTATTAAAATGTACGTATATTTTATATAATCAACATTCAATTTAAAAACGAATATACAATTATATTTCCAATATCCGATTCTTCAAATTTAGCAAATGATTTTTAAAATAACAATTTTTTCATATTTCTACAGTGTAAAAAGTAAATCTTATTTTAAGATGAGTATTAAATTCAGCAGTATTAGCCATAACATAGAAAATTAAAAGTCGTTAAAATAAGCTGCAACGCTTCTTATTTTAATCCAATTTTTCTTATTTTAATAATCCATTTTGGTATTAAAATAAGCAAAATTTGATTAAAATAAGAAGCGTTGCAGCTTATTTTAATGCCTTTTAATTTTCTGTGACTGTAACTAATGCCACAGTAACTAATGCCACAGTAACTAATGCCACAGTAACTAATGCCACAGTAACTAATGCCACAGTAACTAATGCCACAGTAACTAATGCCACAGTAACTAATGCCACAGTAACTAATGCCACAGTAACTAATGCCACAGTAACTAATGCCACAGTAACTAATGCCACAGTAACTAATGCCACAGTAACTAATGCCACAGTAACTAATGCCACAGTAACTAAAGCCACAGTAACTAAAGCCACAGTAACTAATGCCACAGTAACTAATGCCACATTAACTAATGCCACCACAGAAAATGAAAAGGCATTAAAATAAGCTGCAACGCTTCTTATTTTAATCCAATTTTGCTTATTTTAATCTATTTTGGTATTAAAATAAGCAAAATTTGATTAAAATAAGAAGCGTTGCAGCTTATTTTAATGCCTTTTCATTTTCTGTGAATGTATTTAAATTCAAATTGCAAGTAAATTGATTGCTTAGATTCAGCAAGGGCTGTCTTAAAAATATTGCCTCTTAAAATAAGACACCTTTTCTCTTAAAATAAGACTTTATTTTTAATGTGTATTTTTTTCATATCACAGAAAATTAAAAGGCATTAAAATAAGCTGCAACGCTTCTTATTTTAATCAAATTTCTCTTATTTTAATCCATTTTGGTATTAAAATAAGCAAAATTGGATTAAAATAATAAGCGTTGCAGCCTTTTAATTTTCTGTGATAAGATTAGTTTGAAACATTTAAAAAAAAAAAAAAAAATGTTTTGTCAAGTTAAAATGAAGTAATTAATAAAGAGACATTTTTGATCGTTGAACATTTGAGAGTTCTGAGAGAAAAATACCAGACACACTTGACTCCTTGGGGATAATAAATCCTTAGCTATAGAACGCTATTGAATTAAACTCGCCATGTTTTGGTATCCTTTAATGGTTGCCTGAACTTGTCGGCAGCTTCTGAAGAAAAGAACGATCTTCTTATATTCCCTCCCTCTCTCTCTCTCTCTCTCTCTCTCTCTCTCTCTCTCTCTCTCTCTCTCTCTCTCTCTCTCTCTCTCTCTCTCTCTCTCTCTCTTTTTCTTGCATAAAAACAAATATACACGTATATAGAACTAACTTTAGACGTCTTTTTTTTTTCTTTGTACTTTCAGGAGTGCTCGGAGCCGCGATGGCGAACCAACTACAATACCGTTGATTAAAAGAAAAAGAGAGCCTTTGCAGGACCACTCGCTTCCAAGATGGACGCAGCAACGACCATTTGGACGACGCTGGCTTTGGCTCTGGTTACCTTGATCGTTCAAAATACTGCCTGGCCTCAGGATCCTGCTCCACGACTACACATCAAATACCGTGAGTTTAACTTTTTTTTTTTTTTTATGTATATTCATATATATATCTATAGTCAAAGTGCGCGTAGAATGCGCACATATTCTTGCGGTACTTTAACCTGTATTCGAGACCCGAACGTGGATAGTTGAAATACCACTCGTATGCGTATATATATTTTCTAAAGGCCTATAACACTAATCCGTACAGTTAATCGTGGCGTCGAAAACTATCAAGAAACATGAACACGTGGGCGGTAAATTGCACATCGTAAAGTGCAAACAAAATCAAAAATTTTTTTTTTTAAATTCCATTTCTGTTCTTTTTCATCTTTTTTTGGTATAGACGAAAAAAAAAATTTGAATTTTCACATTAAATTTTACAAGTTAGGGAAAAATTGTAAAATCATGTAAATGTCAAGGTATTTTTGTAAAAAAATCTTCAAAATTTAGAATTTTTATTTTAAAACAAAATACAAATTAGTAAAAAATCTTTTTTTTTGTTTTTACTATTTTTTTTATTATTTTATTTTTATTATTGTTCTTACCAGATTTTTTAATCCTCCGGTATTATTAGATTTTATAATTCTTTTTTCTTTGTCTAGTAAAATGGAAAAAAAAATTTATTTCGTTTAAATAATTGGCTACTTTCCTATTATCAAATAAATAGTAATTAAATATAGTTTTTATTTGAATCAAATAATTTCTTTACAATTAATAACCTTTTAATTGACTCAAATAATAAGTATTTGATACAAGTAGATATTTATTTAAAGTAGATATATAATTATTTCATAATTAACCGCGATTATTTTGAATTAAATTTTTCTTTTCAATGTAATAAAATTTTATAACAATTTCTAAAAATAAAAATTTTTTTCCCCCTTTTTTGAAAAATGAAAACTAAGTAATTAGTATAAAGGATCTTCGTCTTTGAAAGTTTTAGAATCATCCCCCCATAAATAATAGGTGCGCTCTTTATTTTTACCGAAGAGCGAAAACTTTTCTCTCTTAGCGTTATTAGTCTTTCAAAAGTTACGCGTTCTTTTTTTTTTCTTTTTTCTATATAAAGTGACTTAAAAAACAAATCTAGTTTTATTATTTTTTTCCTCGCAAATTATTTTTTGATGCTGAGATAAATTTCTATTAATAATTTATTACTGTTCTCTCATAGTGCCAAAGGTATATATATAGAACGTTGAGTTGAAAGCTTCGTGAACGTATATTGCCCATGTTTACGTGGGTATGATGAAATGGTCGGAGTATTAACTTGTTTATCATAAACGTACTATATTGTTGTTTGCTAAGTACTCTCAGTCAATTTAGTGATCTCTGTTTGCTGACTTGTAACTGATGTCAGAGAGAGGGGTGCAGAGATATATATATAGAGCTCTACTAAAACTAATGAGTATCATATGTAAATATTAATATTTTTCAAGTTTTCGTTTATAATTTCTAATATGTATTTGCTTTTGATTTTTATTTTTCTTCTAAAAATAATCAAAAATCGCTTTTAACATTAGAAATTATTTTTCTTCTTTTTCGATGTAATGTATATTTTCTCTGGAAGTAATATCGTTAAGTGTTACTATCAGCTATTGTAATTATCATCGATTACAACTATTGTAACTAAATCAACGAATTGTAATTACCATCGATTTTAACTATTATCGTTTCCAACATGGGAGGCATTAGGAAATATTTAGGTCTCGAAAAATTGAGAGCTATCCACCCTCATATCAGAATCGTATAAGGTTACTGCTTTCCTTGGCTTTATATCTCTCTCACTGAAAAATATTTTCCCAAAGATCAAGTTTTTTTTTTTTCTAAAATTAAAAAAAATCCATACGGAAATTAAATTATTTTTTTCAATTAATATCCTGTATTTTTTGATTTTTTATTCCCTATTATTTTGTTATTTGAAATAAATTTTGAAATTAATATTGGAAAAAAATAATGATGGATTAAAAATTGTTGTATGTATATATATAGTCGAGGATTTTCGCAGACATGTCGAGAGTTCCAATGTGGTTGTTTGGAGAAAGAGAAAGAGAGAGAGAGAGAAGACGATCACAATCCCATGGAGTCTGTTGGAATTCGAAATAGTTTTGAATTGCGCGCGTTTCGTAACTACTCGTGGTTACAGCTGAAAGTCACGACGTCGAAATAATTACCTTCTCGCGTTTCAACTTTGTCGATGAATTGCGTTTCTAGATCAGACTTTATAAATAAAAACTAAATATTTCTAGTTTTTAAGAAAAAATAAATAACTATTTTTTCCTAAAAAGAATCTTTTCATTAAAAATAATTTTTTTTTTTTTATTTTTGGAAGAAGTAATTTTCAAGTTTTTTTTTTTTTCATTAACACCTGGTGAAATAATCATTGTTTTTAGTTTCTGCGAATTCTTCCTTTTATGTGAGGGGTAGGGAGAAATTTAAATGTGGTTAATTTTGACTTAATTAAAAGCCATCACCTTCGTACTTTTTTCTTTTTTTTTTTAATATTGTCTCCATTTTTCTGACTATAATCGACGCTCTCTAACTTTTTACTCGTTGGCTCCATATTCTCTCTCTTTCTTTCCATTCAATTTTATTATCTCATATTCACATTCTTGCCGTTGAGCAGTGGGAAGTTTAAGAGTTGTCGTCAGTCGAGGGGGTTAGGAAAAAAAAAAAAAATTCTCTTCTCTCGAAACTAACAATTCTCCCCTCTTTCTCGTGTTCATATAATAAAGTTCCTCTTTTTATGGATTCCCATTAATTACCAAACAAGACGATCTTCTTTTTAGCACTAATTTGCTTATTAGTAAAAAATTTTTAATTCCAACGTTCTAGGGATTTCATTTTTCATTATTAAAAAAATACACTAAAGTGAGAAATAAAAATTCATGCTAAAAGAACGGCTCTCTTAACATATTATATAAAAGTAAAGTTCTATATGGCGAGATTTTCTTTTTTTTTTTTTTTGGTTAGCTAAAATGAGATAAATATGTGAACCATATTTTTGAAAGAAAAGAGAGAATAAAAATCGTAAATCAAAAATAATTACACTGAGGAAAATTCAGTTGATTCATGTGCTGGAAAACACAGAGCACGCTTTTGCGTTGAAAATTATTGTTTCCTTCGACTAGACTTGACTAGAGAACTAAAGTAGAATAGAATATACTGAAAGTTGTGAAGCGTGAAACGATGGTCGCCAAACATTTGCTAAAACTTGCTCTCTGGACCAAACTGAAAATTTTGTGTTCAGCAGCATCCGCTCTGTCAGGAATTCTGAAAGCGTCCTCTCTCTCTCTCTCTCTCTCTCTCTCTCTCTCTCTCTCTCTCTCTCTCTCTCTCTCTCTCTCTCTCTCTCTCTCTCTCTCGATACCTGGACGTTAAATCTTTAAAATCTGTTTGAACTCGAACGACTGCATTCCCTCTCTCTCTCTCTCTCTGGCAACCCGCGGGGCTTTGATACCTGCCGGGTCAAATATTGGCTACAGAAGCAGGTCGTGTGAAGCTTTGGCAAATTGTATCGAGTATTCAATTATCGAGACAGGTCGCCGCTTATACGTGCCACGTCAACCGAGTTGAAATTGAACTCGTATATAACACGCTTCTCTCTCTCTTCATGAACAAGTTATTGTTGTTTTCATTTTGTATATATAACGATTACAAAAAAAAAAAATATAAATAAATAAAAAGAACATTTTTTAGATTGCTACTCGTCATTTTTGCTGGAACTTTTCAATTGCATTTTTTTTTTTTTTTGTTTGAGGAAATTATTTCTGCATTACAAAATTCTTCTTTTATTTTTACAAAATTTTTTATTTCCATTATTTTTTCTACAAATGTTTTGTTTGTGTATATCAAAATAATTAAAGTGTTTTTTTTACATTCGAAAAATCAAGGTGATTAGGAAATTTGTTTTTTTTTTTTCGAGAATTATAGAGCTCTAAAAGAGCTACAGGTGTTCTTCTTCTCTATGGTAAACTCGATCTCTTTGTTATCAGATTTCGCGAATGTGTGGGACCCTCCCAGTGGCCCCGTTTCGACGCCCTTCAATCATCACAAAGGTGTTCCTTTGTGCTTCCTCCGAATTTAATTTTTCCCATACGTCTTGGTTCAAGTATTTTAATTGTTTTTTGAATTCCAATTTTTTTTTTTTGCGATATTTTCCATAAAATTTGATAAATCAAAGGAAACGCGCTCGTGTGACAATTATAAGACAAATCCGGATTATTGTAATATTACTAAATTCGAACAAAAGGGATATTCATCGCTTTACAATCAGAATTCCGTTTAGTAATGTTTGTTTCTAGTTTTATTTATATTTAATCGGGTTAAAAAAGGAGATTTGCGATGCGCTTATAGTAATTAGATAGAAGGAGCAGAATTTTTTTTTTTAATTCGTCGTAATTCATCGGAATTTTCTGTAAATATATATATATATATATTTGCGCGACGAGTTTACGTTTATAGTTGAAGCTGGCAAAAAAAAGCCAGCAGAATGTCGTCGAATTAAACATTCCCTTCGGGGCTCGTGACACGAATGAATTGCTATGTCCGTTCAAGTTGCCAACGTCAAAGAAGGATAAACCTGGTTGGCACGATGTTACCTTCTATACCGCATGGTGTGTCGCAAAACAAATGGCGCGTTTAAAACCAGTCCTCACTGACTGAATATATTTATTCAAACTGTGTATTTGTTTATGCATTTTCTTCAAAAAAAAAAAAGGAAATTTTTCTTCCTAGTTCATCATTTCCCATCGATTCTCTCTCGCGTACATTAAAACATGTTTTCTTCGAATGCAAATCCCTTTTGTACACATATATATACAAACGTTAACGATGGATTCTGGTCTATCTGGGTCAGTATCGATTTTACGTAAATAAATTTTATATTTCGTATACCGTTAAATTCGAAAAAAAAAGTATTTTATTATCTGTCTCGTTTTTGTTATGTATTTTGTGGGTTTTAAAAGGAGAATTTTAATATTATGATGATAATATTGTCAAGGAAGTAAAAAAAAAAAAACAGAA